CTTACATCACCACCCCCTCATCCGCCACAGCCCGTGACCCTCCCCTCTTCACCACCCGCGAAGTCTTCTCCCCGTGGGACTCCTCCGACCTCCGCGCCGCGTTGGACAACGCAGCGTCGAAACACCAGGTCACCACCCTCGACAGCGCGAACCCGTACTTTTGGAGCTGGGAAGCACGCCTACCCCGGCCGCTTCTCTGCCGCTGTCGAAGCCCAACCCGTGCTCGTGAAGCTGCTGCAGACGATCGATTCTAAATCGAGGGATGGGCAGGAGAGGCCCCAGGACGGAGTGTGGAGCGAGCATCCCGCTTCCGAAGAGTGGAGCCGTGATTATGCTCCACAACCGGCGACGCTGAGTGAGGTGAAGCTGGTTTCCAGCATTGGGATTGGACTCGGTGGTCAGTCAGCACGCAGCAGTTCACTCGCGATGGCAACGAATGGATGGATGGATGGAGCCGGGGGCTTTGTGCGCTCTCTCTCTCTCTCCCTCTTGGTTGAGCTGCAGATTCCTCGTCCTCTGGATCGGATTTGTAGGGCGGGCTACGATGCCTCTTTTGTATCAGAGCTTTAGTGATCGCACACGGTAGAGAGAGTGAAATACACCGCGTCGAATCTTTGGAGCGTCGACTTTGATCGTGCGAGAGAGGCACGCGAAGCAAGCTTGCCTCTCTGTGTTCCAGGAGAGTGAGTGGCCTTACATACAGTGAATGAGTGGGGGCGCGTGCGAATCGCAGACCTAGTGGCGAAATGCTGCATTTCGCACCACAACCTTCCCAAGATGTCAAGCTCGCCGCCCCCTCTAACAGGTGAACGCCAACGCATGCATACGGTACCGATCCCACTCCAAAGAGCCCAAGCACACAATACCCCATTCAGCATCACGACCATTCCCAAACCCAGACATCCATCCTGTCTTTGATCCATAACCCACCCCCCTTCTCTCCGCACTTAGCAAATCAAACTCACCCCCACCCCTCCCAACCACAATAAATACTTCCATCTCCATCCAGAACTCCCCCTTCCCGCACACCCTCACACACTTATCCAATACCCAATCAAACCTTTTTCTGCTTTCGCCTTTGCCACCCGGGAAATCGACAGCCGTTTTTTTTTTTTCTTCTTCATTCTCCCATCGGCTAATCGGCTGATCGATGAGCTCGCTGCTCTGGTGACTTGACAATTGGATTGGGGAGGATAGTCAATCTACTCGTGTTGGGAAGTTTGAGGGGGGAGGGAGGGAGGAAGGGAGGAAGAAAGAAGGAAGGGGGTGAAACCAACTATCTATCGATCTACGCGAGGGGATTATCGGGATGATATATAATCATATTATATTGTATAAGAGGTTGAGAGGGTCGATGTAATGAGTGAGTGAGTGGAATTGCGAATGAGGAAGTAAGTAAGACAGAAAGGAGGCGTTATGCTAAGTTGGATGGTGCTGCAGGACCGGGCCGGACCGGGCTTTTACTTTTCCTTTCTAAACGCTGCCTGCTCCCTCCCTCTTTTTCTTTCTTTCCCTTTGGTACAATCGCGTGCGTCACTAAAAAATCACAGCGAGAGGACTGATGAAACCGCTATTTTTGGAATGAGTTCCACTGCTTTATTTGTCTAAGAGCCGCTGATCAAATCCTAACGAAAAGAGGCTCAAGTGGAATCACCACCGTCTCACCTTTTCAGATAGATCCATCGGAAACGATCCGGATGCGACCTTCTAACCGCGGAGCAATAGCCTGCAGGATAATTATGAGTGACAAGTTGGAAAGCCAGGCGAGGTGGAAAGTGTTGGTTTGGGTCACGTACCTTGGTCCAATCAACCTTGAACTCTTCTGCATTCATATTGTCACAGCACTTGGGCTGCCCGGGCAAGCGTGCCAGACGCCACCACTTCTTCATAATCTTTCTCGCCAGCTCGACCTCGCGCTCGCGGCCCTCCGCATCTACCCCGCTACGCGTCGGCTCGTCGGCGCCAGACTCAGGATCAGAATCGTCGAGGGTATCGTCTGCTGCCTCGGCTGCTTGCTTAGCTACTTTGCTCTCGGGACCGTTCCTTTGCAGCGCAGGAAATCCCTGGTTTGATGAGCCCGGGACAGGTGTATGTGGCTCCACGATCGGAGTGGTCGCGTCCATTGACTTCTGTACCCCATCCCAGTGCTTCTCCATGGACTTTCCCCACATCTTCCATTTCCCCATGATTTTCAGACTCATGAAATATTGTCGGATCATCATGTTGATCAGGATTCCGTTCTCTTCCGAGACGATCTCTTCAGCCTTCCCGCCCTCTGACTTTACGAGTAGCGAGTCGAAGCCATCCTTGCCGCGAGCCATATACCCACGGGTTACTAGAGTGTAGAGCTTGTCGTGATCGATTGGCTGGCCACCAATCCTGATCCATTGTACGCGTGAATCGGCTGGCTTGCTCGGATCAAACTCAAACTCGATGTTTGAAACTTGAGGAAACCGGCCTTCGAGCGCGGGGTAGAGAGAAACCGAGTTCTCAAGTGCCTCGAGTATGGCTTTGCCGCTGACCTTGATCACAACACATGGATCTTCAAAGGGAAAACAGTTCATGATATCTCGGACCTTGAGCACACCTGGTGGGTAAATTTGGTCACCGCGTATGGTGCCGGACGCCATGATGCAGCAGTCGCCACCATAGTGACTCCGCATCAGGTCGCAGATGAAGTTACCCATGTTCGACTCCTTCATCCGCACTGTTGTGAATCTTGCATCCAAAGGAGCCACAGTATATCCCAAAGGCTTTCCCAACTTTGACTTCAGAGATGTCGTCAACTTTTCCGTCAATTTAAGGGTGTCAACGTCTTCTGCAATGCTTGACATGGCATCCCGTCTGACGACACGAAAATCCCATTTCTTGCTGTCGCCCCCTTGACGCCTAGCCTCGATGTAGCTTAATTGTTTGAAGTCACTACCGGACCGCAGCACGTGTGTGCCATTGACGATGCTGTGCTGATAAAAGTGATCATGGCCACCCAGAACAATATCGATGAGGCCATCAGTCTTTTGCGCCAGTTTGTTGTCGTTTGGCTCTCTCTGATGAGTCACGGCGATGATGAGCTCGGCTCCTTGAGCACGTAAACCCGGCACCAACTCTTTTGCTACCGCTGAGACTGATTTGTAGATCAGATCGGGTGGCAGGGAGTTGATAGTATCAAGCCATTCGCGCTCGACAAGGCCGATTACGCCAATCTTGATGCCGTTCGAGGCTGTTAGCATTACTGTTTTCTGGGCATTTCCGAGAGGTACATCGTCTCCCAGAGCTGGATCTGTATTACGAAGCATCAGCTAGGAGACTTTCTCTGATACATGCCAAGACTTACTTACCGATAACGTTCGCAAGAAGCCATGGGAAAGAGCACTGCTTCGCCAGATGTCTAAACTGTCGAACACCGAAATCCAGATCGTGATTCTATAGCCGAAGAAATCAGTGATAGCTCATCACAAGTTGACCTTTGCTTTTCTTACCCCTACACAGGCAACGTCCGTCCCAATATCGTTTAAGACCGGGACCATGTGACTTCCTATGAATACGTTAGTTTACTCTGCCGCTTGATTCTTCTTGCCGCATTGAACTTCTATACCCTTAGTGACACTACTCTCCAAACTTGGATTGAAGGCATCCCCAGAGAAGAAGGTGAGCAGGTCCGGCTGACCCTCGAACTTAGAAGCGCCGCGGTACTCATTGCACAAAGTCTTAAACCGAGCAACACCACCTACTGGCTCCGCAGAAGATGCATCGATATGGTAGACTGAAAAGTTAGCAGCCTCTTCAGCCTCATTTCTCGAAGCTGAACTCACCATCATTGAAATGGAGTATTCGAAGGTCGGGTGGTAAAGAGGTGTCCCCAGAGCTGTAGATGACTTTCTCCTCCGCAGTGGGAACGTATTCTTCATCCATTGTGATCGAGGAAGATGAAGTACTCAGAGGTAGTTGGCGCTCCTCGCGTAGAACTCGTTCAATGAACGAAGCTGGGGTCACACTTCGCCACGCTACAGAAGTTCTTGATGCAAGACCGCTATATTGCTGGGGTTTCTTGTCGTTTACTGGTCAAGAATGCTCTCATGAGGTTTCTGTGTAAGCTCGATGTGGCTGTGGATTGTTATGAGCAGCGTAAGCGGTGTGAGGGACAGTTGAGGTTAAGAGGCTAGCCTTGATTAGGTAAGTTTCCAAGAGCCTGCACGTGAAAACTCACGCGGGGATATTCTTCAGAAGCTGAACGAAGTTATCTTTAAGCCATAAATAAACACTTCCATGAAGGATATGGGCAGTAAGCCTTTTGCAAATCTGTCCCCAAGTTACAGCTTTTAGAAATGCTGCAATATCAGAAACATCAACCAAACAGCTTTCCGGCCGACCAAACGTAGCTGTTTCTTCTCCACATATGCCTTGCACGTGCAGTATCGCCGCAAAGACTTCCTTCCACCCAATAGATCTTTCAAATATGCACGTGTCAATGCCGCCGTCCCTTGAGTACATATGGAAGAGAATAAGTCAAGAACGCCGGATTCACGCCGATTTTTCTTTTCAAGGATCATATTAGAATATAGCTCTCGATGTAAAATATTCAAAAGCCCACCCCACCATGTCTAGGAGCTTGAAGGCGCGCAGATTTCCAGGCGAACAAGCTACAAATATATTCCGGTAGTAAAAAGTTACATCTTAGATTTTCCATCGACGCGAAAAGGGAATAATACGCGCCAAGATAGCGGGATGTAAGTACTACCCGACAATGGTCACGGCCAGATAATAATTGTAAAAACACTCAACCAGCGTCGACGGGACTAGCGTCAGACTTCCACTGCTCAGCATCCTCAGCGCTTAGCGTACGGTAGCCTAGATAAATTATCCCTACTCATTAATAAACACCTTTCCAATTCTTATAGACTCTCATGTCTCCTTAGAGATCGACGCTCTCCCATTCCGCGGGACTAGAACTCGATGTTGAACCACAACCCGCGTCACTGCATGTTGTTTACAGCCTCGCTTCTAAGCGAGCCCTCCCACGAGGCAACCGCCTCCTGTGTAAGCAACTTCCGGCCAGGTGCAGAACTTACAGGAATGGAAAACTGAACTGCTGAGCAACGCCACTGTAGGCCACAAAGAAACGACCCCCGCCATGGTTGCATAATAATATGCTGATTGGAAACACAGCAACAATCGTGCGAGTATTGAGCGAGACTTGGCTTCCCCGGATCCCTGTATCTCTCTATACAGCAAGCAATTCCTAAAGCAAATCCTTCGGGAACGATACCATTTCTTGTCTCTATTGCAGACGTGAAATAGGGACGTCCTGCGTGATGCGCCTTTTCGACCATACTATATGCATTCCTATCTTTTCTATATGTCTTACCGCCACGCCGTTTCTCCTCGCAGACTTTCTTCGTTCTGAACGCAAAGTAGCGCCAATAGCGAGGACCAGATCAACCGTCTCAGAGGGAGCGCGGAATATTCTAATATCACCGACCATGCGCCGGAGGCGCAAGAGCCACCCGGTTGCACGTCATTGCCTAGCGCCAATATCAACAAACAACTCACTCTCCAACTAAAAAAAAAAAAAAAATTAGTCGCATCCAACTCTAGGATAAATGAAAAGATAATTTCTGATTTTAACTTCTACCGTCTCGCGTATAAATGACCCCTTCACGGACTTGATGTCATACACCGGCTCCTGATACACAGTGCTTTTCCTGCTCTAGCTACCAGAAGGTATCATTTCCATTCATCTTCCACGTGCCAAGACGCCCCCGGAACGCTAGAGAATTCCATTCCTCAGATTCGAAATCGACTTCCGCCAAAGTTCAACGTGGGAGAGCAGGAGAGAAAACAGAACACACACACAACACAAACACGCGCGATGGCGACAGCAGCAAGGTCCACGCTCTCGGGCGCTTTCTTCGGTGCCGCATTAGTCGCAGCCGGCGTCTACTCGCCTTCAGTCATCCTCGGCCAGATGCAGCTGAAGAACTTCCACATGCTGAAGACGTTTCTGGCGGCGAGTGCTACCAGCGCGTAAGTCCCCA